ATCACAATAGCAATATCGTTTTTTGACCTTTGAAAATATGTGTTTGTACTGATGTCTTTTGTTTAAGTAAAGAGTCAACCAAACTTTCCGGAGACGTATTTTGGATTAGACGTAACTACATCACGCATACACAAATAGATTTGATTTAAAAATGGCCAACTGAATCGGTGACATGTGACTGTCTCCCTTAGGAGCGTTCTTCCTGTACTCGGGGCTGGTGGTGCTGGGGCTCCTCTTCGTGCAGGGCTGCCTCCCGGAGACGAAGGGCATGCAGCTGGAGGACGTGGATCACCTGTTCTCCGGTCCACTCTGCTCCTGTGGGGCCTCCGCCCCCCCCACGGACAGCAGCAACGTCCAGTACACCCGGGTAAACGGCAGCAACTTCCTCCACTCTGACACCGAGGCGTCAGATCTAGAGTAAACTGGGAGCCTGTCCTCTTTCTCTTTGGGTGCACTGGTGGAGAGGGGATCGAGTTACTTCTGATCAAATGAGCCAAACAAGTCTGTCAGGCAGTGATTGGCTAAATCGGACACTTCCCCCTCGCTCATCTTCTCTTCGGTGTTTCTAGCCTGAGATCTGCTTTTTCCTTCTTCTTGTTTCCCATCATCATAAAGAGGAACTTTGGAGCAAGACCTTCCAGGTGTTTGGTGAGCGGGGTAGATCTGAACTGGGCTAATGTGAATCTCACAGGAACGTTATGGTACCAAAAACATGTCAAAGTCAAACAGATTATGTTTTTTTAACAAACTGGACTTGGGAGTATTTTAGAAGCCATTTGACCTGGTTTTGAATGAGTTATTTCCTCATGCTCCTTCTTTAGCATCCAGACCTTTCTATTTCCAGATGTTGTTGCCAACGCTTTGCTTGATTTCAGTCCAATCATTTATCTCTAGTCGGTACTCCTTGACTTCAAAATGCATATACCAGCAAGCAGTGGTGGAAAATAACTTATTGCATTTGCTCAATACTACTGTACTTTTAGTCAAGTGAGATTTAGAATTTAGGTATTTTACTTGTAATGACTTTGACAATAATGTAGTACTTAAAGGTGAGGTAGGTAATTCACTTCAGAAACACTTTTTGTTATATTCCATGGAATGCTCTTAACATCCCGATAGCAATGAATACATTAAATCAGGGGTGTCCAACTCAAGGCCCAGGGGCCAAATCCGGCCCGCGACTTGATTTTATGTGGCCCCGCAAGAGCTTGCAAAGAATATAATACGTTTATTATACGGCTACATGCCGATTTACAGAAGCATGTTGTCCATAAACTACATGTCCCACAATGCATCTCGTTTTGTGACATGCCACTGAAGAGACTTGCAATTATTTGCCCTGGACTTCTGCTTTCAGACGTAGTTAATTAATAAGTTATTATCCTATCCGAGAATAATCCAATTCAGAGGCAATGATGTAATATAATACATTATAGTTACAACCGGCCCTTTGAGTGCAACCTTTATGCGAATGTGGCTCTCAATGAAATTGAGTTTGACACCCCTGCATTAAATGCTTTGACAATAAATCCATACAAAATATCACCTGTGGAAGCCGTGGCGCTGTAAAAAGCACGACCAATCATCTGAGCCGGCCCGGCTAAAGTAACTGGATGGCCTACCTGCCTGTCAGCCTTCCATCTGTGCACTTATCTCGTGTCCTCATTGATCATGTGCGCGTTCGTGTGTGTTGGAGGAGGGGCTCTGTAAGGAAGTCTGAAGGAAGGGGCAGATTTTTTTCGGCTGCGTACTTTCAGATTCTAGCGCACTCGAGCTGGTTTCTCCATTCTTACCTTCGCTACCTTTAAGCAAAGTGTCCTCATATTCTTAACATTTAACATAAATACTTCATCCATTTCTTCCAGCAAGAATGTTAGTTTTGTTTAGCTTCCGTGATGTTACTTTAAATTCATGAAGATGTCAGACGGAGGAGAAAAAAATCCTTTCCTTTTTGCCTTAATTTTCTTTGCCATACATTCTGAACTCTTCCAAAAACACTCCTGTTAAAGTCACTAACCTGGGTTTATTATTCTAACCTGTGCTTTTGTTTATTAACGGAATTGTTGATCGTGATTTGCTGCTATTCTTTGCGCAGTGGGACATATTGCACTTTAAAAAAGGGTGTCTTTTTCATTTTTCATTTCATCATAAATATGTTTTCTTAAATGTCAGATTGCTAGAACAAGTTGCTCAAATCTTAATTATTTCTAGAATCAACCGGAAACGAGTCCGGCACAGTACGGAGCGGCGGGGTCAGACCGTGCTATAGCCTTTATTACTGTAAGTACTGAAACAAGGTGCGCACAAGCTTTAAATACTCTCTGTACCAAATGTAATGTTCGATGTGTTTGTGTTCACAGCTCAGATAACGGTGACCAAGTAGCCCTGAACAACTTTATACAAAGCACCTTTATTCACAACTTCCTGTTTGCACTCTTTCATGTCTTATTTGCATTTTAAATTGTTGAATTATAGATTTCCTTTTAAAAGCAAAGCAAGTCAGAAATTACAATTCTTGTGTCTTTTAGTGTTTTATTTAAGAACAATTTTCATTGTAACTATTGATAATAATCTACAAACATATGGGGATAGTTTTCTGATGCTTGGAAATAGCACCAACATCTTAATGAAGTATTTTTCGATACTTCTCACATATTTTGCCGTTGTAATTGTGTAACATCATGTTATAAACGTTGTTAAAACTTGTAAACAATATGACAGCAGTGATGTAATCCGGCCGCTATTATTGTTCATCTTGTTGAAAACCAGCCTGTGTGAGAATTAAAAAGGGAAATGTCAGACTGCCCCTTTGAACACCTTGTATCCTCAGGTAATGAGTGTCTTCAGATTGGCGTTTTTATTGGCCATAGATCAATGTAACATAATGGTGTGTTGGATGTGTTCACTTTGGTACTTTGTCATTTCCATTTTGTATTTAAAATGCTCACAATGTTACATTGAATGTCCTGTTTATCAATGTGACCTTTGGAAATAAACAACCCCATTGAAGCAATTTGAAACCTTGTGGCCGAAGTGATATATTATTCAACACTTCACTATTTGATGCATTGTTTACATTAAGGTAATTAAATATTGTATAAATGATTGTGTGTACATTTGAGGGTCCACAAAGTACAAACAACAATGTCAAAGTGGCTGTGTTGGAAAGTAATATTAGGCAGGGTTTAAAGCACGTGTCAAACAAATCCGGCCCTTGGTGGATTTAATTTCGGCCCGCAGGATCATTTCTAATTACTATTAGATCTGGTCCTCCGGTATATTGCACGCACACCTTCACTCCATCCTGAGGGTCTCCTCCGCTCAGAGCCTGAGCCCAAACATTGATGACCTTGCACCCAAGATGAGATGCCAAGTATCTGAGCTAGCATCACAGAGCAGCACCCTGAGTTTAATGGATGCTTCCTTCTGAACTTTTTCTCTCACAACAGCAGGGCATGTTTGGTTTTCTCTTTGAGGGAAATAGTTTTGTTGAAGCTGTTGTTGGCCTGTGAAAAAATGTAATCATAAGAAATGACTGAGGAAAAGCTGCAGATAGAGCCATAAGAAATGAATGCAACTGATTATTTAATGTTGTTTTTATAGGCAATAATTTAAGCTTTGTTAGTTCCAGGTTTAATATGTGCAGTAAGTTCATTTCAATAAGTTCTGCAATAAACATTGAACCAGTCCGGCCCTCGACTATACCCATTTTTTTTATTTTGACCCACTGTATTTGAGTTTGACCCCCCTGGTTTATAGGGTCAGTACCCCATAGATTACAAAAGGAACACTAGGGCTGAAAATAAAACGGTAAAATATGAAAAATGATGGATGAGCTTTGCTGTTGAATTTACGTTTAATGTCAGCTTTTTCAAATGATAACCTCTTTTTATTTTCTCTGGACGGATCTCCAATGCCCTCACTGTGTCGAGACGGTTTATATCCACAGGGTGGCGTTAAAGGTCCAAGAGTAACAAGTGCAGCAGCAACATTTATACAGACCATTATTTAATTTCGCTTGTCTTGTATTTCATAACTTACGCATATATTGCAGAACACATTATACTGTGTCACATTCATACATAAAGTCATTATGTTCTAATATTAGTATGTTTTAACAAAGATCTCCATATTGATTCTGAAGGGCCATTTTATTCTGTAATATAAATACGGTTATCTTGACTCCTTTGCCCTGAACTACAGTCAAGCTCAACAGTATACTTTTTCTCAGACAGCAACACTATTATTTGTCTGTGTTGAACAATCCCCATGAAAGAAATAACTTAAATAGTTGCAGGACATTTAAAATGGTACACATTATAAAATAAGTTGTGATCTGACTTTTGATAAAAATGCACCATAAAAAGCATTTTAGACACAGTTTTGTAATGTAATTGTATCTTATTTCCTGATGGTGTAATCAAATTAATTATCCATTGAGGTTAGTTGCATGATAATTAAACATAAAGCAACCTAAAACACTCAATCGTTTATTTAAATATTCACAAAAAATAGTGCATTTCTCACTTTTTTTTATTTTATCAAGAGTTTTTTATTGAAAATGTTCACTATGGATCATAAACACAAATGAAGAACATGGAAGGATACACGTCAGGCATCATCCTACGGGGTAAGGTACTTCAACGAGTCCCATGACATGTTTCAAAGGAAATATATCTGAAAATAGATATATAATAACATTAAAATAAGCATACACATATCACATGCAATTAGACAATTATAGAGAGGTTGCTGGGGCGTTCTCCCCTCCGAGAAAATATAAGAAGCCTCTCCAAATCCTATCAAATGTAGAACATGTATTGACCCTTAAGCATAAAGGTAAGTTTGCATTTCTGACTTTCTACAAAACGTGCATAACACCCTCGTTGTCATGACGTCACCTCGCTGCCCTTCTCCCCGGAGAGGGCGTGGCTTGCTGACGCATTGCGGCTCCCTCCCCGCGCGGTGCGTAAACGGAGCGGAGAGAGTGCGTGTGCGTGTATGCGTGTGTGTACTTTCTATACGTGTGTATGACAGAGGCTCACCTAGCAGCAGCACAGTCTGAATGTGTTTCTGCTGGAGCCGAAGCATCCGGGCAGAACTGCGCAGAGATGCGGCGCACATAGACGTGACATGCGGACACACCACAGCTATATCATGGTTATAATTATAAACACCAGCTGAGATAATTTCTGGGTTTGTTTTTGAGATGGCGGCGCTGAAGTCGAGGTGAGCAGCTCCGTTGCTCGGTCCTGTCGCCACGGTGTGCGCACTTTTTTCCTCGCCAATCAATTTTTTTTGTTTTTTCCCCATCGATTACTGTGCAAGGAATCATGACTTCGGGGCAAGACGAGAGTACAGTCCGTGTGGCACTGAGGTAAGTCACTAAATGTTCTTTTAATTCTCCATTAACGGGGTAAATGCGTAGTTGTGTTTTGTTAATTACCCGGTGCCACCTGTCAGTCAGCGCAAAGGGCCTAGCAAACACCTGCAGGTCAACACGCACACGCACACACACGTACACACACACTATATCTATTAATGATCAGCCTAATTTCATCTGAGCACGGTGACCCAGTTATACCGGGTCACCTTGATGGTGCTACCGGCTTTTCACGACACATTTTCGGTCAATTAAGTGCCGTATCTCCGCTAGGATTTCCACAAAGTTGAAATGCACATTTTGTTCCATGCAAAAGCATCACGCCCTATGCACAGGTACACACACACACACACACACACACACACACACACACACACACACACACACACACACACACACACCACACACACACACACACACACACACACACACATATGGATCTGTCTCCAGCACATGCATGAGGAGGGATGATATCATCTATTGTACTGGATGAGCTAAGAAAGGCAGAGAGGATGGGAGAGACAAATCAGTGTGTGTGTGTGTGTGTGTGTGTGTGTGTGTGTGTGTGTGTGTGTTTTCTAAAGCCCCTCCTCAAAGCCTCATGCAGAGAGACAGTTAATCGATGAAAGGAGAGCTTCACTGACAGCCAGGTTTTAAGGAAAGGACAGTGAGCCGTTCACTCCATCCCTCTCAAGTCTGATCTACTGGCTTTAGTGTTTAAACCCCTTACAATTACACCTTTTGCTTTATCAGTAAAAAAGCTTCCTTTTGCTCAAAACACTTAATGTGCTATTGTGCTGAGGCAGGCCGCTGCCTACCAGCTGGTGAGGTGTGACAGTGAGGTGGCATGATGGGATATCAGTCTCGCCCCTCTGCTCCTCTGTCTTTAATACAATGCGTTCACTATTATAAAACGATAGCTGGTGGATGTGATGTTGCATTTCTCTTTCCTCTTTCATTTTGCACCTTGTAAACAAACTCTGATTCTGTGAGTTCACAAAAGTGCAGCATCATGATTGTGTGCCAGGTTTGAGGCATGTCATCCAAAGCTTCCTGATTCTGTTTTGAAGGGGAACATCCACACGGATACGGTGTGTACATGTTGCTACTTTTGTTTTATTCAAGGTCACGTTGCCTCTTAAACAAAGTTAATATGAAAAAGACATTTTGTTATTTTAGCAGGAAAATATTGAAAATCTAAGAGCAAGAGCTTTTTTCTAGAGATGCCATTTTGTGCGAACATTAGCACAAACAGGGAGAAATCCATGTTAAATGAAACATGAAAACCCTCATTTTGCAATGACAATGTCAACAGAGGCCAGTTTGTTTTGAGTGAAGGGAAACAGTCATTCAGGGAGTTGAATGCAATCACAAGGTTGTATATTAGAGTAGAAGAGGCATTGCTGAGGGAGAGTGAGCAAACCCAGGGGATTTAGCACAAAACTAAGGGCGGATCGGCAAATGACAAATGAGTTGCATTACCAGTTTAACAGAGTGTTGATTCTAACAGTGTCGGTGCGTCTCTAGCAGGTGATCTGTAATGTGATCTGCTCGGGCCGTTCTGTTTATCTCTCGGAGGCTGCACGGCTAGTGGGAAAACCTTCTGGTGTGAGCAACGTCGTTAACCATAACAGCACCTGTACTCATGTGATGATATCGAGCACTGCTCTTCAATAAATACTGCTGTGCTGTGAACTACTTAGTTGGATGTAATTGAATTCTGTGGTGCAAGATGAGACTGCAATGTGTTGTTGCATTGGACTGGATGTTAGAACTCAAACCTATAGCACTTTAACTTCAAAATAGAGCTTAATGATCATCATGCTCTCAAATGTCATTACTCATGAGTGTTTGATGCACAAGTGACTGAAAGACGGTTATCTTTCCTAAAGATGCACATTGATTTCTTCCAACTGTACACAAGTAACAGGTGTTACCTTCTACTCATGGCCGATTGAGATAAGATAACAGGTCATTTGACTATTTTCTTAACATAATTTAGTTCTGCACTTTTGCCTTTATTGGATAGACAAGAGAGAGTGGATGAATTGCAGCAAAGGGCCATTAGTTGGCTTTGTTGTAGTAACGAGTAAGCATTTGTTTTTTTAAGGACAAGTTCATAACCCGTAGTTTATGCAAACCTGAGGTTAAAAAGGCTGATTAGATCAAAACTATGTTTTTCTCGTTTAGTCCGTTAAAGCAATTTAGCATCATATTATCAGATGTTATTACATGGTTTAGTTGAATACTCGATTCTGATTGGTCAATTCAGAACATGTGACACGTTGTTAATCCAGAACAGACAGACCGCTGTCAAGCACTTATTGACCGTTGTTAAGGACGCTCAGATCTGCTCAAACAAGTCCGTTCGATTGAACTGTATACAGTTTGGCTGAAAAGCAAAGTGCATGGATGCTTGGCGTCGGGCTGCTGACCAGCCTGTCGGTGTTCCTTTCCCCATAATGACCGCGTCGCTGCACATTGTCCCTTACTTAATGTATAGGTTATGATATTATAATCGCAATATACATCAACATTTCCCAACATATGCCTTGGTTTATATTGTGCATCCCTATATTTACCTGATACCGGATGTTTGTTGTTGGTCAATTGGGGAATTATGGCCACTTATTTAAACTCGTAAAAGCATGCTTGTCCAAAGTATGTGTTCAAAAAGACTTTCTAAGCATGCAGACTGCAGCCAAAGTGCCCCCCGGTAGGAGGTGGATGTTTGGTGTTCTGGTTTCAGGAACTACAATTACAGCCCAGATTATTCCACAGTACATTTCCCGCTGTAAAACCAGTTCCTTTTGCAACAGTATAATCTTTCTCAATAAAATATTTTGCGGCAGTTTCAGCTTTTATAGCTCTACAAATAAACTACAATTCTGCAGCATTTAAGGGATGTAATGCTGTCTGTAAAACCAAGCCTGTAATTAGAACGACGGGGTTGACACAGATGTGACAGCCAGCTGTATTATAGGTTTGCAGTGGCATGTTTTAACTGCTACCAACGGCCTGTCACGGGCGTGTCAACAAGCCTCACCGTTCACTGCTGAATTTGGGTGCGACAGTTGGTTCAACATATTTGAGTATGCACCCTCCTTTCTACGCAGGAGTAAGTGTGTGTGGAACAAAGTGGAAATGTAATGTCAAATCACCAAGCATCCACACACTTTAGCTCCTTATCTGTGACATCTCCTGTTTGTGTTGAGGGGGGGGGGGGAGGGGGGGATTTGTCTGTTTTGCAAATGTGAGGGTTGCAATTTTATGTGATGACACATTTTTTTTTGACAACTGTTTTTTTTGTTTCTATCTTTTTAATCATTCTTTAAATGATTTTCCCTTTTCTTTTATTGTTTTATACAGGTTTGTGTGCATGTAAATGGTCTGAAACGCCTCCATTGGACTCCTTTGTTTACTTCCAGAAAATAATGACATCACTATGTAACACTTGGGCTTCTAGTGGCTAGCGCTCCAACACATTGTACGTGATAGGCTAAGGGGCGGGACATCTCTAAGCTGTTGACCAATCACAACAGAGCCAGCCAGCTAACCAATCAGAGCAAACTGGGCTCTGGTTTCAGACAGAGGGTGAAAACAGGGTGCTGCAGCAAAAATAAAGAGCTTTTTGAACATTAAAGCATGGAGACATGTCACATAGAGACACTACATACAAATATGAACCTGAAAATGAACAAAGTACGGACCCTCTAATTTATTTTGTATAATTTCTTGGAAGAAATGCAAATTATATAATATTGAACGTAACGATACAAACTCTCACTTCATAAAATAGTACAAACATGTAATGGAAAAATGTTTGAGAAGCTTATCTTGGAGACCAGCGAGTTCAACGTGCAGTTTCATCCATAATGCCTGATCCAAGATTGCATAAACAGAGTTGTTAAGGAATAAGGGGTCCAACTTGAGGTTGTTTAATCGCTTTAAGACCCCGGCTTATTCCAACAGAGTTTGTCCGGTTCTTTTCAGAGAGGAAAACATGTGCTCATGCATCGGAGTCCATAGTATGTGTTTACCTCAGAAAGGCCAGGCTCTGTAGACTGTACTGTGGGGGGTTATTTGCACAGTGCAAAACGTCACAATAGTCTCATTGCATTGAGGGGAAGGGCTCAGGTGGGAATGAGGACTTGTTGAACCTGCCTGCGCCGGGCGATTACTGCAATACAACAAACATGAAGCAGCTATCATTCATTTCCAAGGCGGTGACACATGAGCGGTGTGCATCAAAGCGTGAGAGTGTGTTTTTATACCTGCTGTAATAACTCTTAGTGCTGCGGTTTAGCTCCTGTTGCCAAGGTCATTAAACCTTCCAAAAACAAGAGGAAGCCAAGAAATCCAAATGCATATCATGACAATACAGTGACTTTGTTTTCCTCTCAACCCTGTAAGGACTTGATGTTCGGCTGAAGGGCACAACAATGTCCATAATGAAATGAAATAGGTCCCTAAACCTCTTAAGGCTTATGTTACAGGCGTGCTTTAATGTAATGACATGGAGGCATGCAGAGACTGAGGCTGAGAGTGAGCCTCAGGTTAGCCCTCTGTCAGCTGTGGAGACGGGGTTAACGGTGGCAGGAGAAGCTTGTTAAAATGAGCCGCACGATTACAGGAGAGATCTGCTACTTAAGGACCGGAGCAGGCTTAACTCACATGACAGGAGACAACAGCTGAGAGGGGGGGGGGGGGGGGGGGGGTCACAGTGCAAACCGAGGCTAGGGGCCACTTTACTGAGGAGACAAGTGTGGCGCAGAAGGATTGAAAAGACACACGGACAGTAATGTGTTTCCTCGTAGAGACAAACAAACTCCAACTATACTTATTTTGAGTCTTAAATAAAGCAAACATGTATTTCTTAAGCTGATCATTTGTATTCTTGGCCCGTTTGATCAGATCTATGTCCATGTTAAGACAATTTGGGTTTTTGTAGCAAACGATAACCATGGCTTTGATATAAATCCTGACAAAGTGTA